TCTTAGAAATCCCTAATTTCACGATTCTGACTGACAAATGCCACTAACTATACATAGCTCATTTAGTATTTCACCCAATTAATTCTATGTACACATTTCCATTATGAACTACAAGTAACTTAATTCCAATTAGCTGCGCAGATTCAAAATGTTTGTATGCAAGTGCTGAACTCGAGCTTATAATTACTAAAATCAATAGTTGTACAAATTAACATTGCAGTGCTCAAACTGTACTATGCAAGTGAACATACTTCTGTATTTTTAATTTTAATGGCTGTCAGAAGAAAGCAGTTTGCAGAAGCTTTAAATGGAAATGACATTTTCTGGATTCTAATTATGCACGCATCATCTAACTAGAAAATTACAGAACCAAAGGAACTTAGATAAGACCTATCAAGGGAATTGTAACAGCACATTTTCTCCCTCTAGTGGTTGAGGGAAATAATGATAATAATCCTTGCATTTGATATAGCGCTTTTCACGTCTTCTAGACGTCTCAAAGAGCTTCACAGAATAGACTGTAAAGTGAATTGACTGTATATTTTGTGGGCGAAATGCGGCAGCCAATTGCACACAGCAGTGTCTCACATACAGTCGTGGATTGAAGTGACCAATTTATTATTGTTTTTTTGAGGGATTGTTATTAGGCGTGTGGAGACTTGCCCAAGGTTTCATCCTGACGGGAATCGAACCTAGATTTCACGCTTGCAAAGCGAATGGTCTAACCACTGAGCTACAGGACTCAACGTAATCTCCAAAATCTATCGACAAATAAAGACTGAGAGGTTACTGAAAATTGAAGACCTTTTAATTTTTAATTCTGTTAACTATTTATTACAATCTCAGAATCTACAGTGTCTTATGTTTTAAACTGGTGGTTGCCTCAATAAAGAAGGCCTAAATTTTGCACGAGCTAGCTTATCTTCTGGTACTACTGCAATCCATAAAACATATTTATAGTGCCTAGAACTATTTAAATATTAAACTGCCTTTGATGTGCGCACATTCTGAGTCAGAAGATTACATACTCTCACACAAATCTCAGTAACTGGTGTGGGGATGGTCATTAGGTTCTCCCAGATTTGTGCTTCTTCACAAGATACTGTGATAGAAAACAGCAAGCTCTACATTTCATGCCTACACTATTAAGTATGTAAGAAATTGTACAGTGGGAAAAAGCCATTAGGCCCACAGAGCCCATCCTTTTTCTGATAATGTACCCGACACTTATGTTTTAAACACAAAATATTACTCAACCCCTTCTCTTTGCAGAAACACATCATGTTCCCGCATTTATACTGTCCTCCAGTACCAACTCCAGGTCGCTGATGTTTCATCAGCTTGTCTGGCAGACATCAAGGCCTGGATGAGCATAAACTTCCTGCAGCTGAACATGGACAAGATGGAAGCAATACTCCTCGACTCCTGTCAACGTCTCACTCCTGCGGATCTAAACTCCTCAACCTCCCTGGGCTCTCCTTCAGACTCACTGAACCAGTGTCCAACCTAGGCATGAGGTTTGAACTCCAGCAGTCCTTCCTCCCCCACATCCGGTCCCTGATCAGGACCACTTTCTCTGCCACATTGCCCGCCTCCGACTGTACCTTACCCCAAATGCAGCCAAAACTCTTGTGAATGCGTTTGTCACCTCCCACCTGGATTACTCCAACGCATTCCTTGCTGGTCTCCCCAGCTCCACCATTCAAAAAATCCAGAAATCTGCCGCCCACACTGACCCGAACCAAGCTCCGTACCCACATCTCACCAGTTCTGAGCTCCACTGGCTTCCTATCACCGAACAGATCGACTTCAAGATCCTCATCGTCACACTCGTGTTCAAATCCATTCACTCCCTGGCATCTCCCTATCTCTCTGACCTCCTCAATCCATCACCCGGCACCAGCCTCCTGCTCGCCCCTTGTACCCTCCACCCCACCATCGGAGTTCGTGGCTTCAGCCACTACACTCCAAAATTCTGGAACACTCCCCCTCAATCCCCCTGCCTTGCCCCCGCTCTCTCCTCTTTCAAGTCCCGGCTGAAACCTTTCCTCTTCGACCGTGCTTATGGACACCTCCCACCTCCTGCCGGAGCCTTAACAGGTTCCGCCACTGTTAAGCGCTCTGAGATGCTACCCTGTGTGGAGGGCGTTATATAAGTGCAAGTTGTTGTTTCTGTCTGCTTCAACAGCTTTGATTGGTAAGTTATTTCACAATCTACTACCCATTTTGCAAAAAAAAGAGGTTTCAAGTCAGTTGCCAGACTACGCATCAAAGAAAAATATTAAAAATAATATGAATAGTAAAAATAACAATGCTCTCCGTGGAAGTAAAACACTTCTGAAGACAAACTCACCCTTCTGGCAAAAAGCAAGCTTTGGTACAGTATCAATTACAACAACAACAACTTTAATTTATTCAGCGCTCTTCATAATGTTCATGGGAAAGCCAAGACTCCCTGAATCATGTTTTGAGGAAGAATGAAAAGGGATTTTCGTTTATGAGCTTTTGCAAAAGAGTTGAGTGCAGGCGCTAAGCTTGGAGACTGTAGGTGGAGATGGTTTGCTGATTTGACATCTTAGATAAATAGTTTTATGGCTGAATGTATAAAGATCTGTGCTGGAATAGAGGACAGATAATTAAAGCATGAGGTGACAGATACATATTTTTTCAAAAATGGATTTAGCAGATTGTAAGAAGGGAAATTGTGCATTAAGGACACCAATTCTGTAGTTCATTACTCACTGCCATGAGCTTGATTCACAATTGCAGTATGAAGATAACCTAAATGAATACTTGCATACAAATTCAAAGAGTAACAAAAGCAAAAAAGGAATGAATGTACATTGTTATCTATGATGTTCTTGATATTAGCATATCTTTCACTGTGGGGTGAAAGAGAGAGGAGTAGAGAGCTGACAGGCCATATTACATTATATACTGACTCAGAAAATACTGAAAGAAAGCTTACATTTAAAGCACCTTATTAAGTCAAAACATTAAGTCTTACATGTATAGCCAGATTCAGATGGTAACACTCTTGCCTGTGAGACAGGAGGTTGTGGGTTTAAGTTCCAAATTGGGATTTGGAACTCATATTATCTAAACTAACACCCCAAAACAGTGCTGGGAGTGTGCTGCAATGGGGTGCTTGCTCACTGATATCTCGTCTCTATTCTCATGCCTGTCCTTCTGCACTGAATACCTGCTCATTATGGGTGATTTCATCCGCCACTTTAACTCCCCTTTTTCAAGGCCCGCCTGAAAACCTTCCTTTTCAACACGGCTCGGAGTCAGGCTCCGCCACTGTTAACTGCTCTGAGATGCTACCCTGTATAGAACATGCTATCCAAGTGCAAGTTGTTATTGCATTATTGGAGGAGCTTTGGATGAGATGTTAAACCACATCTGCCTGTTCAGGTGGATATTAAAGATCCCATGGCACCATTCGAAAAGAGAAGGGAGTTTCTCCGATTGTCCTGGTCAACAATCCCCCTCACCAAATCGATCATTTGCTTAATGGTTGTTGCATTCATCTGCAAAAATACACAATCATTACACTTGATAGTGAAGCCCTTTGGGATGTCTTCCCAATGTGAAAGGCAGTATATCAAATGTAAGGATTATTATTATGTTCTTTATGAAAGGCTGTATAACTATTTGAAGGGAAATAATACACCTACTTGCACTAGAAACGCCTTATAAATGTGAAGAAACATGAAGGCAATGACCAATTAATTTGGAGGTTTGCTGTGAGAGACCTGAGTTCAATTCCCGGCAGGACGAAACCTTGGGCAAGTTTCCTTACTCCACACGCCTAATAATAATCCCTCCAAAAAAACAAAACACTAATAAATTGGACATTTTCAATCCATGACTGTCTGTGGGACATTGCTGTGTGCAATTGGCTGCCGGGTTCGCCCACAAATATACAGTCAATTCACTTTACAGTATATTCTGTGAAGCGCTTTGGGACGTCTAGAAGACGTGAAAAGTGCTATATCAAATGCAAGGATTATTATTATTATTACTGTACGAAACTCCTTTCTCCTTCGAATAGCGGTATCTTTAACATCTATTTACACCTGGCAGACAGGTCATCAGTTTAATATCTCATCTAAAAGGCAGCAGCTCTGATGATGCAATGCTCCTCCTGTATTGATTTGGATTATCTATGTAGTTACAAGTTGAAATTTCAACATGTGGTTTGAACCCACAACGTTCTGAACCTAGAGGGAAGAGTTTTACTAATTGATCCAAGTTGCTCAAATCTAGTGTATATGGACAGTTTGTTAAAAAGTAATTCAGATCAAAACAAGTGACATTTTATGAGTCAATGAGTTTCATTTCAATGAAAAAGTATGAAGCAAAAATCACAGCCCAAGCAGAATCCTGATATAACCAAAGTGCACTTTTGGGAAAAAGAATCTGACTTTCCAGATTCAATATTGCAAATTGCATTTTTCTGCAACACAACAGAGAATGGTTTAGGACAGTTGGCAGAGTTGCGCTTGTGAATATAAAACTTATATACGTTGGTTTTAAAGCAGAGTTGAGTATCCTTTATAATCAGTTTAAAAACAATTATGACCAGAATATCATAGAATTTACCTCCACAGTAATCATACCTCAGAAATGCAATACTGTGACATTCTCAGAACAGACAATAATGTGGTCCTATATAAAAATACCCCGGAAGAACAAAAGCAACATTCTTCCTAGTTAGTGGGCAGTATAAATCTGCCCACTTGTTCAATCTCAAACTAGAACAGATATCACACCCAGGAATATAAATGAAACATAACCCTTTCAAATTAAACTAAAATACATTGGGTCATATCTTTTCATAATACTCAAAGATAAGATCACAGCCTTCTGCTTTAAATGTCTATTATATAACTAAATTACCATGGCAATGCACTGCTGGGTATCTTCAAAAACATATTATTTCAATAAAGCATGTATTTATACACAATGCACAATAAATAAAGATAATGATATACCTGTCTGTCAGGCCAGCATGCTTTCAAAACAGCCTGAGTTCTGAAGAGGACAAGCAATTTGCTGTCCTCATCACCAAGGTGAAATGCCTGCTCAAGAATCTGCAGTACATAAATGCGAGGTTTTACAGGCAAATCTGCATCCCCACAGAAAGGTCTCAGCCATGATAAGAGATCATCTGATGATACCAGCCTTCCCCTAAAAACATGAAAAAACAAGTGAAATTTAGTTTGTTTTAAACAAAAGTAAAATATCCGTTTGGTGTATTTTTACCTACAACACAGTATAAATGTAAAGGTTATTATTACTTACCCATCCTCAACATCAGAATGCACTGATGTGACAATACTTTCTAGAATTTGAAGTGGATCTTTTTCTGATGGTATATCTGTACTGCCATCACTGTTATAAAATAAAGCAAACATGATAAGTGACTTGAATTAGCCGTTTGTTATATCCATTTATTACAATTTATCAGCTAAAAGTCTGATTGATCCCATTGAGTGAGCAGGAGTCCTTGCTAATTTTATGAAACTGTTCTGTGACACTAATCCAAGGGACTTGTTCTCAAAACCTTACGTTGTCTATGTTTACCAGCTTTCCGTATATGATTCATTTACCTACCTTCAGAATTTAGTGGATTCTAATTTGCGAAAGTTTCAAATTAATTTGTAACTAGCCAGTACTGCAGGCAGACAGATTTGTTGGAGGCCAACATGCTGGAGGTCTGCTCCAACACCAATCATAGTTCTAACTCTGTGAAGCTGAACTGTGGCCAAATGAGACTCCTGCTGTCTGGCAAGAGATAAGTATTTGAACGGTTCTGGGCAAGTTCCATCAACAAAATTGACTCAGGTTTATTAAATTCAGACATTAAAGGATTCTTGCGGGAAATTCAGTGGGTTAGCTGGATGCACCAATGATCTTTTTTGCCTGAATTTGTTATAACATTACTTTGCTCTATTGCAATCATCCTTAAAGAGTAAATCAACAACAGCAACAAAATTACATTTATAGAATGCCTTTCATGTCAGGAGGACAGTAAGGTGTCGGGGCGAGGGAAGGCAGAGAGGTGGGAGGGTGACTGAAGGTATGATTGAAGAGGAGTGTCTTGAGACCGGCCTTCAAGTAGGCAAGTGGAGGAAGTGAGGCGAAGGGACCGTGGGATGGAGTTCCAGCGTGTGGGGGCAGAGAGGCTGAAAGCCCGGTCGCCGATGGTAGGGCGGGAGACATGGAGCAGGCCGGAGCCCGATGAACGGAGGGAGCGGGCAGGTCAGTAGGGAGTCAGCAGGTCAGATAGGTAGGAGGGGGAAAGGCCATGGATGGCCTTAAAGGTGAGGACAAGGATCTTGAACTCGATCCTCTGGAGGATAGGGAGCCAGTGGAGTCGGGCGAGAGTGGGAGTGATGAGGTCACGGAGCCTGGTGCATGAGAGTACACGAGCTGCAAAGTTTTGGATGATCTGTGGCTTGTGAAGGGAAGAGTTGGGAAGGTCGAAGAGGAGGGAGTTCCCGTAATCGGGCCTTGAGGTGATGAATGCGTGGATGAGGGTTTCGGTAGCCTGAGGGGTGAGGCAGTGGCAGAGTCTGGCAATGTTGTGGAGGTGGTAGTAGGCAGTGCCGGTTGTGGTGCGGATGTGGGGGAGAAAGGACAGTTCAGGGTCAAACAAGATACCCAGGTTCCTGACTGGCTTAGTGAGGCTGATGCTGCCAGCGCCTGAGGTGCGAAGACGCAGGCGCGAGCCAATCAGGAGGGCTTTTCTTTTAAAAACAAAAGAATTGGCATTGTACAATAATTTTAAACTAATCCAGAATCCTTGTATATGCAACCTGACAGAGCACCTACCTTAACGTATTTATAACTCTTTGTACAGCATCTTGTACGACTGCCTTAGAGGATACACTTTGAGATTCTACAGCCACAGCCAGCATCTGTTGCATGATATTAAGAGCCTGTCCATCCAGCACCATAGTCACTGCCAGTTCATGTAGCTTACTTCTCTCCGATCTCGACAGGTCATACAAACGGTAATAGTTTGAGAATTGGTCCTAAAAATAAAAGTTTTTTTAAAAAACATTTTTATTTAATAATCATTAATCAGAGGAACAAGAAACCAACAATCAAACAAGCATCAAATCTAAAGAGAAGCTACAAGTCATTTCTACTAAAAACAAACTGGGCTTTATATGTAGAATATGCTTCTCTGAGACTTTTCCCTATAATCCTGGACAACAATTCATCAGATAAAATTGGTTGTTCACTTCAGTTGCTTGTAGGACATTGCTGTGTGCAAACTGACTGTTGTGTTTGACCTACAAATACAGTCACTATACTATGCTTTCCAGTAAATCTTGTGAACCACCTTTATGATATTTTGATGTAATCATAAGACATTATATCAAATGCAAGGATATTTCCCTTATTGTACAATTTTTGGAACTATATAAACTGGAATGGCACCAGATTCAATTTCTATGTTCTATGCTGAGTTAGGAATGAAGGTTTACAGTTAGGAACAGAGTCAGGATTCCTCAACCTAATCACTATTTAGTCACCATGGCTGGAATTGTGCGTATAGACTATGTGAATACAGGATCAAGCTCAGCAGGGATGCTCCACCACAGTCAATCACAGTCTACTTGCAATTCAGGCCACTTAAAATGAAAGGAACCTCTGAAACTATATGCTACAGTGATTATCCTGCTTATATTGGGATGCATTACATCTTTACAAATGTAATTTTGTATTGTATGTTAACAGTGAGCAGCAAATAATTTGGCAATTCCAGAAAGAAGGGCTATGCAAAATTTATCAGTGCAAAGACTCAACAAGATTATTATTATCCAATCATAGCACACAAACAATGTTTAAAAAGTACCTTCAGTTAAATTTCTATGATAAATGGTTCTAACAGGTGGTATGGAAACTACAGCTCTATACGGGAGCAGAGCAGCCCTACATGTTGGCCAGTTCTGTGCAGTGGACATGTGACTAATTGGTAATTGGATTACAGTGTCAAAGCTCATTTTATTTTTAAAAATTCAGAGGTGCGAGATAATACTTTGTTTGCCTGAGCTGAAAACCAATTAGGAACTGGGCTGACTAATTAGGATTTTTATCATCCAAATGGGGATTCCAGTTTCTTTTAGAGCATGCGGGTTGATAGTATTTGCAGAAATTGTAAAACTCAATATACAGTTGAACCCCATTATGCTGTGTATACTGTACATCCGCAAACAACACTGAATCCGCAGGTGTAACAGAAGTGCTCTGGCACATAGTGCGTAGGAAAGTTCTCCAGGAGTTCCAGCAATCACAGAAGTGATTAATTGCTGGCTTTCAGTGTGCAAGCGCAGTGAGGCCAATGACATCAGCGGCAAAGTCATTGGCGACCTGCCGGCGCACTGTACCACGGCCCATAACTCGGGTCTGATTTTATGTACCCAAACCACTGTGTTATAATAAGGTCTGGCTGTAAAATGAAGAGCTATCAGGTATGATCAATATTTCATTCATGGTAATGAGCGTGCTCTCCCATTTAAGAGATATCAGGTCAGTCCACTTGGGGGATGCTAATCACATCCCAGCATTTCAAGGTTCTCTACCATACTAACAATCACAAATACATAGGTTATACCTGAAGCACAGTGTATTTTGTCTTACTCACCTGTGAACTAAACAGTATTCAATAGTTTAGCATGCAGTAACATGAACACAGCCTCTAAGTCTCTCCCATACCAACTCCCCCGGCCCACCCCACCAAACAAGCATTATTGGACAAAGATGCAAGTTTAGTGACATCACATTAAATTCATATTTTTGCTCTAGAGGCCTGCTTCATAATTAAATTGACCTTGCTCTAGGCACGTCAAGTAGAATCCTGCATCATTCCAGCATGGCAGAACTATTCTGCTAGAAAATGCAAACTGAATATTTTAAAAACTGCAAAGTCTAAAAGACAACATAAACTGATCTGGGTTGCACTTTAAACATATTAAAAAATTTTCACTGAATCGATATTGGGATTTAAGTAGTTATTCCTCGAGCGCTAAAGCATAGACAAAGACAAACTGTGCCCAGAGAGAACCTGGTGCAATAGCTAACAAGTAGTTTTAGATAATACTGGATCTTATATTTCTATAATCCCAAAGTGTCTCCAGCCAAGTGACTGATTAATTACCTCTTAACCAATGACCATTAACCAGTCCTAAAACCAAGTTCTGACGGGCACAATCTAAGTATTGTATTTTTCAAATACACTTCTACACCTTTCATCTAAAAAAGGGGAGAAAAGCCTGATGAATAATTTAACTTTAAAATGTTAAGTTGCCTGTCAAAGGGCCTTTAGAAGAAACTATTAATTTGCACCCTGCAATAAGGCTGATATGAATTTTTTTGACTTCTAAATACTGTGAAATAATAGGGTTCTAGCATAGTATAAATCGGTTTAACAGACCATTTATTTTTCTGTGAAAAGGTTAGAATGAGGGATTTGGAGATAACCAAAATGGGATGAACTTGTTAGGACAACTGATATATTTTAAGTGCTCTGAGATGCTACCTAAGCGCTTCACGTTGATACCCAGAGTGAAGGGCATGATATACGTGAAAGTTGTTGTTATATCCATCTTCTACAATTTCCTATGCTCCAAATCGAGAAAAACCACATCACAATACCATTGTGCATTTTGTATTCACAAAAGCATATTGCCAGCATTTTTTAAGGCTGGTAATATTCCTATTTAATTAGTCTTTAGTGTTAAATTATGAGCAGCCTTATGTTGTGGACTTGGATCTAGCACTCACTCCACGACTGTTTGTGGGACATTGCTGTGAGCAAATTGGTTGCCACATTTGCCCACAAAATACATAGTCAAAATACCAGATAACAATATATCTTGTGAAGCACTTGAGACGTCTTGATATTTGACAATGCGAGGATTACTATAACAACCATACTGTCCTTGACTTTAGTATATTTCTTCTGCAAGCTAAATACGTTAAAAGTTTTTTCTCTGATGTCATGTTCTCTGACTAACTTTGACATTTGCTTTGACTGTTCCTTTTGTACACTAGTATGGGGAATTAAAGTCCTCATCTCCGATATTCTAGCTATTGAGCTCAATAATGAATGAAGTCATCCTTCCTCACACTATCATATTAGACAAATTCACAAAACCATTTTATTTGGAATGTAGAAATATTATCAAGGGAATCAGAAAACTAACTCAATAGATTCAATGGTTTCATCCACAAAATATACAGTCAATTCACTTTACAGCATGTTCTTTGAAACGCTTTGAGATGTCTCAATGACAAGATAAGGCGCTATAGCAAATGCAAGGATTATTATTACTATAATAGTACCATATAGTGATGCATGATGGTGCTAATGGCAGATGAGTGGCACCAAAACTACATAAGGATGAGATTAAATTGGTTTAAGAATACGTATTGTATTAAAATGAGTAAGAATGTGTGAGGATTAACTTTTCTACTCTTAATCCAAATGAGATTCATGTTATAGGGAGACCTCATGACCAATATCATCAAGAAGTATGTGGAGATCTGCTAATTTAAATCAGCAGACAGAGAACCCAAAATCCAGGATTCCTTTCACTATTACTATCACCAGAATTGAGCACATTTTTAATACTTAAACAATTATAGAACAATATAGAGGCCTTCATGTGGGGCAGTGTCCCAATTGGTCCTGGCCTTTCCAGGGTTAGGAAGGGAAAGTACGTGGAGTCCTGTAGCTCAGTGGTTAGAGCACTCGCTTTGCAAGTGAGAGACCTGAGTTCAATTCCAGGCAGAGGGCGAAACCTTGGGCAAGTTTCCTTACTCCACACAGAGCCTAATAATAATCCCTCCAAAACCAAAAACAATAATATATTGGTCATTTTCAATCTACGACTGTTTGTGGGACATTGCTGTGCGCAATTGGCTGCTGCGTTCGCCCACAAATATACAGTCAATTCACTTTACAGTATGTTCTGTGAAGCGCTTTGGGACGTCCTCTCAACGTGAAAAGCGCTATATCTAATGCAAGCATTATTATTATTATTAAAGTACAGCTGGGCTTACTGCTCTTGGATCATCTTCATCTTCATAGTGGAGTCCTGTAGCTCAGTGGTTAGAGCACTCGCTTTGCAAGTGAGAGACCGGAGTTCAATTCCAGACAGGGCAAGACCTTGGGCAAGTTTCCTTACTCCACACGCCTAATAATAATCCCTCCAAAACCAAAAATAATAATAAATTGGGCATTTTCGATCCACGACTGTTTGTGGGACACTGCTGTGCGCAATTGGCTGCCGCGTTCGCCCACAAATATACAGTCAATTCAGTTTGCAGTATATTTTGTGAAGCGCTTTGGGACATCCTCCTGACGTGAAAAGCGCTATATCAAATGCAAGGATTATTATTATTATTATCATCCTCTACTGTTTGTGTGTGTGTTTGGCAGCTGGATGAGATAAGATTAGGCTAGTCTGTGACGCTCTCCACATTAAAGTGGCCTGCCAACACTCACTGCTAAGGCTCACACATGAACAATGACTTCTTCAGCCAGGTACAGGAGCCCACTGAACCGCAACCCAGCATGAGGAGGCTGAGACCAGAAGCAAAAAGAAATAGCTAATGGTAATAAAAATAAAAAACACACTAAATTTTATATAAAAAATAAATAATTCTGCAGTAAAAGAAACGCCATGTGGCCGAAGGGACTTTACGTTCTAATGCATCAGCGACATTGTTGGCGAATTGACTCTCCGACCTTCATTGTAACGGCCATAATGCTATCATTACATCCACAAATGTAAAAATCATTTAATTCTCTGCCACAGACAGCATCCAGTTTGAGTACAAGGAGCTCTGATTAAAAATTCTGCCCTGTGGGTAACACAAGTCACCTTTTCATAGAAGGTGAATATAGTGCAGTTGGCTGTGAAGGACAGGATTAGGCTTACCTGGTCACTGGCCTTCAAGGAGACAACAAAGCTGTGGTTGAGAGTTTCCAGATGAGCTAGTGATTGCTGTAGATGATCCAAAGCCTCTTTATAGCTGATTTGAGAATTCAGTGCAAGTGGGATGCTGCCTTCTGGTCCCCTTTTCAGCTGCTTCTCTCCGATCTGTTTGATTGCTTTTATTGTTCTTTTAGTTATCTCGAACCTGACTTCAACAGTCAGCTGAAATAAAACGGATTTAAAGAACATCAGTGAATGCAATATGTGTGCATGTGTGGGTGAGGGGGAATTGGGAGTTTGTGTCTGTGGAAACTTTAATTTAAACAGATTGCAAGCTTTTCCCCTACATTGGCTTGTTGAAAGAGAAAATTGCATACAACAGTCAAAAAGAGAGTAAGTACTGAATATCACTTTCTATTTGCATAGAATTTGCCAATGTTTTCTTTGTCATTTACTTTCAATATGTTGATGAAAATGTGGGAGGTATAAAATCACTGCTTGTCATTTCAACCTGTAGTACAAATGTTATTCCCGTGTACAAAAAGGGGCAGAAGGATAAACTCAGGAACTAAAGGCCAGTCAGCCTAATGTCAGTAGGGGGGAAACTTCTAGAGATTATAATCCGGGAAACAATAAATTTTCACTTAGAAAAATATGGGTTAATAAAGGACAGCCAACACGGATTTGTTAAAGGCAAATCGTATTTAACAAACTTGGTAAGAGTTTTTTGATGAAGTAATGGACAGGATGGATGAAGATAGCATGGATACAGAACTGGACAGGAGACAGAAAGCAGAGAGTGGTGGTGAACGGTTGTTTTTTTTGACTGGAAGGCAGTGTGCAGTGGTGTCCCCCAGGGTTCAGTATTGGGATCACTGCTGTTTTGATCTATATAAATGACCTGGACTTGGGTATCGGGAGTACAATTTCTAAGTTTGCAGATGATACTAAGCTAGAAAAGGTAGTAAACCACAAGGCGGATAGTAGCACTGCAAATGGACATAGACAGACTGGTAAAATGGGCCGACATGTGGCAGATGAAGTTTAATGTGGAGAAATGCAAAGTGATGCATTTTAGGAGGAAGAATAAGAAGAGGCAATATAAGCTGATGGTACAATCCTAAAGGGGGTGAAGGGACAGAGAGACCTGGGGGTCATATAAGTAAATCTTTGAAAGTGGGAGGACAGGGAGATAGAGCTGTTTTTAAACAAAACATACGGGACACTGGGCTTTATAAATAGGGGCATAGAATACAAAAGTCAGGGATTTATGATGAACCTTTATAAAACACTGGTTAGGCCTCAGCTAGAGACTGTGTTCAGTTCTGGGCACCAAGCTTTAGGAAGGATGTCAAGGCATTTGAGGAGAATTTTTTTCACACAGCGAGTTGTTCGGATCTGGAATGCATTGCCTGAAAGTGTGGTGGAAGCCAATTCGCTAACAACTTTTAAGAGAGAAGCAGATAATTATTTGGGGAGGACAAGTTTGCAGGGTTATGGGGAGAGAGCAGGGGAGTGGGATTGATTTGGATAGCTCTCTTCAAAGAGCCGGCACAGACACAATGGGCCGAATGGCCTCCTTCTCTGCTGTATAATTGTATGATTCTACAGTACTGCTCTGCAATGGGCTACCATATTTTGCAAACTAATTAGATGTTTATGCTATTGTTATGATGTACATTTCGCCCACAAAATATGCAATCAATTCACTTTACAGCATATTCAGCAATGCACTTTGAGATGTCTTGAAGATGTGATAAGGTGCTATATCAAATACAAGTATTATTATTTATTATTATTACATTTAGCATTAGGTTCAACCTGATAATGTAAAATTGAACACTAAGTTTATAGTAACATAACTCTTTGAAAATCAGCGTCCTTTAACCAGACATTTGCAAAACACCAGTGTGACCCTCTGCTTGCACTGTCTACTTCAGTATAACAGCTGGAGATAATGCAATGCACAAAAACAGTTAGTTTAATTACTGGTGCAACGCCAACCCAATATCAGTAAGTCAATTTCAGGATGTGCAACCAAGTAAAGCAGGTGAAAAGCCAGTGCATTTTGGCTGCTGAAGCAACACTGAGCTTATATGCATTGCTGCTCTGAACTTCAAAAAATCCAAAAGATGCAGCTACAAAAACTGACGTTGAAAACAAACTCAGGGTTTCAACCAATTCAACTCTTTGTAAAATGGGACTCAGCAATGCTGGGTGGAGTGTGAGCTTCTGCATATTGTTCCCTGTAATAGACATTATTAACCAATGTCATGATGTGGGTGTTTGCCGACAAAAACACACAATTTGCAGTATATGCTGTGAAGCGGCCTCGCAATGTGAAAAGTGCTATACCAAATGTAAGGATTAATATTATTGCACTGCAGTGTCAGTTATGACACTATTTGGAAAAAGTATGTTTTTCCCCAGTGTTTTGTCCAACAATCCTCCAGATATATTGGATATTCACTTTATGCTGCTTGTGGGACTTTGCTATGCCCAAATTGGCTGCTGAACTTGCCTGAGAATTGATAGTTACTTGTCAGCAATTACCTGTGAAGAACTTTCAATGTTATAGGTGCTACATCAGAAACAACAATTATCATTATTTGTATGAAATAAATTGGTTGAATTGGCTAAAGTCTATGTCAAGAGTCCAATACTGTTTTCCACCGTCCATCACTACCTCAGTGCTACTACCCTCAAGCCTCCTCTATCCTCATGTCAAATAGCAAGTGCGAAGAGATCCTAGACTTCTTTGCCTCAAAAATTGAAAACATCTGCTTGGCTGCAATCATCTTCCCACCACCCCATATCCCCTTCCACCCCAACCAGACCATCCACACAGCCTTCTCCCTCCGCCCCGGATCCTGACACTCCCCCTCCTTATACTCTTTTACCCCCATTTCTCCCTCTTCCCTCTCAACCACAATCACCCACATGAAGTTCACCACCTGCTACCTTGACCCCCTCTCCAGCCAGCTCCTAATCATTCATTCCCCCCTTCTCTCCCACCTGCTGGCCGACACTGTCGACCAGTCTCTCTCCTCAGGCTCTGTTCCACTCCCCCTAAAAACCACTGCCATCACACACCTCCTCAAAACAAATACCCTCGATCCCTCTAATCTCGCACACTACACTCCCATCTCCAACTTACCCTCCCTTGCCAAAGTCCTGGAACACATTGTTGCAGGTCAACTTCAGTCACAACTCTCCCTCCATGAGCCCCTGCAGTCTGGTTTTCGCCCTGCCCACAGCACAGAGACAGCACTTGTCAAAGTCACAAATGACGTTCTCTCTATCTGCGACCAGGGCTTCCTCTGCCGCCTTGTTCTCTCTGCTGCGTTTGACACAGTCAACCACGCCATCCTCCTCCATTGGCTCTCCTCCCTCATCTACCTTAGTGGGACCGCACTCACATAGTTCGAGTCCTACTTAACCAACTGCCTCCATTTCATCTCAGCAAATGGACTCTCCTCCCGCCCCTGCCCGGTGACCTGCAGGGCACCCCAGGGCTCCAACCTTGGCCCTCTTCTTTTCCTTATCTATATGTTCCCTCTGGGCGATGTCATCCACCAACACGGGGTAAACTTCCACATGTATGTGGATGACACACAAATCTACCTTGCCTCCTCCAGTACCAACTCCAGGTCCACTGATGTTTTATCAGCTTGTCTGACAGATATCAAGGCCTGGATGAGTGTAAACTTCCTGCAGGTGAACATGGACAAGATGGAAGCCATGCTCCTTGGCTCCCGTCAACGTCTTCACTCCTGCGGATCTAAACTCAACCTCCTTGGGCTCTCCCTTACACTCACCAAACCAGTGCGCAACTTAGGGGCGCCTGGTTCGACCCCCAGCTGTCCTTCCTCCCCCACATCCGGTCTCTGACTAGGACCACTTTCTTCTACCTCCACCACATTGCCTGCCTCCGACTGTAACTTACCCCAAATGCAGCCAAAACACTCGTGCGTGTGTTTGTCACATCCTGCTTGCTCCTCGCTGGTCTCCCCAGCTCCACTATTCACAAGATCCAGCTCATTCAAAACTCTGCCGCCTGCATCCTGACCTGAACCAAACTCTGTACCCACATCTCACCAGTTCTGGTCGGGCTCCACTGGCTCCCCATCATCGAACGGATCAACTTCAAGATCCTCACTCTCGTGTTCAAATCCATTCACTCCCTGGCACCTCCCTACCTCTCCGACCTCCTCACTCCCCAATCATTCCTCTTTGACTGTGCTTACGGCCACCTCCCCACCGGCTCGGAATCAGGCTCTGCCACTGTTAAGTGCTCTGAGACGCTATACTGCATGGAGGGCGCTAAATGAATGCAAGTTGTTGTTTTCTGAATTGAGACATAGTGGACGACGACTTAGCAACATGAAATACCAAGGACCACATTGCTAAATCTAGTAAAAAGCTTTGTTACACGGATAAGTTATGTCACCCAAAAAAGGGATGAATAACAACAACAACAACAAGATTCCATTTATAAAGCGCCTTTCACGTCAGGAGGACGTCCCAAGAAGGTACTATTATTTGTGTGAATCAATACAGGCATAATTCCTGAATGCCTTTACAATTTTTTAACAGCATTAACCAAAAAAAATGTTTTTTCCTAATTGTGCATGACTTTCTGTCCCTTTTTACTTTATCAAAGTAAAAAGGGACAGAAGGTCATGCACAATTAGGAAAAAAAATTTTTTTTTAAGACACCTGAGATTACATTAATGTGGTGCTATTTTTGTTGATCAGCAGCCATATCAATTTCGTGTTTACCTTATAGTGTGCTGGAGTTTTTCTTGTATAATTTTTAAAAGAACACTTGGGAATGCTGAAGGAAATTAGATGAATCTTTTAAAAAATCCATTTTAATACTTTGTAAACCTACTGATATTTAATGTAATGTCTAGGGAATATTAAACTCAATACAAAAATTAGGCTTTAGGTTGGATTAAATAATCTTTTGCTCACTTTAATAGACTGGAATCTCCAAACATTGTTTTACGCTCCTGCTCTTTTAAAAAAAATGGAAAAGAGAGAGGAAACTGAGGAGGTTAAATCTGTCTAATTATGCAGAACATCTGCAGCACCTAAATACATTATTATCTGGCCGGGTAACCTTGTGGAGTAAATGCTGATGCATACAGTCTTAGAGCTGAAATGTTAATGTAATAAAATGCTAATAGATTCAAGTTCTGTGCAATGGTTTGGCACGTTGAAATACCCGTGCTTCTGTTTGCACAAATTTACTAAATGTTTGCATGTCCTAAAGACAACAATAAATAGAATTTTTGAACAGCCTTTCAGAGTTATGCCGCAGATACTTAATGCAATCCTTAACAATTTTAGTAAAGGCCTTAAGGTTTCCCCAATAAAATCTAGATGTAAAGTGATAAGCATCTTCATTAGCTTGCTAAAATTTGGTAGTATGCATTATTCATGAAAAATAGCATAGATCTTTAAAACATTTACAATACTATGAGATTAGATATGTAGACTTCTGCATTGTGATATTCTTACAAATGTATTTTTTTTTTAATTGTCTATAGTCCCAAAATAATTACAAGTAATTTAAATTTTAGTTTGGACAAACTTATTTTTTCAAAATAGATCATTTTCATTACCTTGCTCACTGCATTAGCCGAGAAAGTGATGCCATCTATGAATCCGACAATGTCTGTAGGGTAAAGCCTGTCAAAGTATTTTGCACACGTGTCGTAGGCATTTAACCATTCGGTCTTTATCTGTGGTTGCTTTTTAATAAGCTGAGGGTCTCCATTCCAGAAAAGCTTACTAAGCCACGTTGCATAAATGGAGCTTGAGGAAAGCATTATTCCATCTTTACCAGGAATTTTGGGTGCCAGTTTAGAAATAGATAAGATGTTCTGGCTGGTGAGAACTGGCTGCAATGGTTCCAAAGGATCAGCATCTCCATCGGTCAGCTTTTTATAGTTAAGGTCTAATAAAGAACACATGGAACACAAAGCAGTAGGATTTCAGTACAATAGGCAAACATATTAAATTACATCCTAAAGCCCGTACCCGTAATTCAATGGTTGTTTTTATCAAACACCAAATCTTGGAGCGCTTTTCTTTATGTTTCAAACCTACCCTGAATCTATCAAGACAAAAGTTATAAGAGATTTGTCTTTGAAGACAATTGGAATCTTTATATCCTTCTCCCTCCTACAAAGTATACAACCTCACCCAGAGTTTAGTCTCAAGTGGCTTACACAAGAAGCCAATAAATTAAAATAAAATTGACTGGTACCATTAAGTGTCAATTCTTTTCCATCTGCCCCACTCTCAATCAAATGCTGCTCCTAGCTAAGTCCTCAGCTTTGGGCAAACTCTTCCTAAGACTATTTCTACCATGATTAATGCAGCAAATGCAATTTAGTCACAGATGGTGGGCTCCTATGATGACCAGTATTCGTCACATCTTCAGAACCGACTACATAACCGATAGTGACAGTGGTGGCTCGGTTGGTAGCAATCTTGTCTCTGGTTGGGGTGTCCTCCTGACATGAAAGCCTTGGGATGTCCTCCCAATGTGAAAGGTACTATATAAATTTGTTGTTGAGTTAGAAGATTGTGGGTTCAAGCCTCATGTAGGTACTGTAAACTCAGCTTGTCTAGGCTGACACTCCAATGCAATACTGTGAGTATTCTGCATTGTTGGAGCATCCTTTGCATGAGATGTTAAAATTTAGGCCCCTCTGCCTCTTCAGGCAGGTATTACAGATTCCACAGAAGTATTCAAAAAGAGAAGTGAGTTTCTCCCGGTGTCCTGGCCAACAATACCCCAAATTAAATTTGTCACTTCACACTTCAGTTGTTTGTGGGATGTTTTTATGTGCAAATTGGCTGCTGCTTTTGTCTACAAAATACAGTCACTACACTTTACAGTATATGTTGTGAGGCACTTTGAAATATGAAAGGTACTATATCAAATTTAAGGATTATTAGATTTATTTATTGTGAGTAATCCCAATATGGGTAATGGAATGAAATTTCATAATGGAGACAACTAATTAATAAAGTTTTCCATAATTTTAGTGTATTGATCTAACATTAATTTACATCACTGAACCCTGACCACATTGAACCCTTTCCACTGTCCTTGCAACATTGTGTTTAATCAGATATTTCTGATCTCTATCTAAAAAAAATTTCTTCTTATGTTAACCCAATATCTATCCAGTTTGCAAGTTTATTAACTGCTTTTGCCAAGCGTCTATTTTATATTTTGGAAGAACACACAGAACCATTCTGATCTCTAGTCTTGCTTGAAGCTCATTAATTTTATACTTGCATTCTTTGATTCTCTGATCATTCTAAATGCAATAGCCTGATTATATATACATTATCTCTGCCACTCAGGAATTTAAAGACTTGGACCATGTCCTATCTTAATCTTCTTTTAAGCGACAACAAAAAGTTCAATTTCATGGGTATCAGTTCATAAATTAGTTTTAAGGTCTTCAGTCATTTCTGGTTGCTCTTCTTCAGTCTCTTTCCAATGGAGCAGAGCCCTTTTGATAACAAGATGACCAAAACTATACATGAAAATTAAATGTAGCCTAACCAATGAGCTGTACAAGATTAAAGTAAGCAGTTCTAACATAATTAAATGGCTTTATATGCATGCTGGTACTTCTTGATATGAGCTTCCCAATGATGCATACTTTTAGTGAATGGTCAACAAACACACTCAAATTTTTAAAAAATCTTTCCATTCACTAAGTAGGCATTCATTCACTTAATATCCATTACCTTACAATTATTGAGTTCCAAAATGATGCACAAGAGCTATTATAATGTTTACAGTAATTTCTGAACCTCTTTGATCCAATCCTTTCCAAATATTTTAAATGGACAATGGCTTTCCTCACCTGGTTGACTATTTTGGTTGAAATCTAGTGATGGATGAATGATAACAAAAAAAAGCATTTATTTTTCTATCTTTTTAACTGTTTAATACTTTAAAACGGAATTTAAAATCAATAGAGAATCAAAAATATATTAAACTTGAATGAATCTAAGAACAAGTACTATTTTAAATAATATTTTCCCAAGTTACATATTAGTTCCTGATGTCTTGATCCATTAATTAACCAATTTTATTTGGACAGATACTAACATTGTCATTCAATGTCACACATTGCATAATCTGTGGCGCACTAAGTCTGACTGCTACAAGAATCCTTCTTTCCATAAGTAGGTCTTCCTGCTTCCACACTACAAGACTGGTGAAACCTTCCATTTTTATCATAATGCTTACGAGAATTTAAATGACTTTATTGCGCACATAAAATTTTCTGAGGAATAGAAAAGGATATTATGGTGAACATAGCAGTTTTTATTCTCAACCTCACCTATCCATCTTCTCACCACACCCCTCAATAAAATGTAGCCTTCAATACGTTTGTCTTTGAATAGTTGGGTGACTTACCAGTTGCAACAACCTTCAGCTTCTTTAGCAGCCTTATGTGAATTTCTGGCTTAATGAGGTGTTTTACATATTCTGTACAACCACAGTTTTCCAACAGGGTAAAGTAGTAAAGCAGTCTCACGTGATCCACACCATCAATACTTGGATAAACATACTTTGTCATGTGCTCAAGAAATGCTTCCGGATTAGTTTTCAATGTGGCAAAAAGTTCAAGAGCCTGGACTCTGCCCTCAATTTCTGCCGTTGAAAGCCTGTTGATTTGGGTTTGGAGATTAAAAAAAACATATTTAAAAATGAGAAATTTGCAATTGGCTGGAGTGACATAACCCAAGATGTATGGAGCAAATCTTTAGCGTTGAAACGATAAGTAAACAAACTTCAGACGACAGGAAGCATCATGTCCTGAGGCCAACTTAAGAACAAATTAACCCAGTCATACGTGTGGCCTCTTGATTTACAACATCACCCTCAAAGGTAACTGATTTAGAAATACTGCAGCGTGAGTTGGTGATTTAACCAATACAACAACGACAGCACTTATACAGCGCCCGCCACGCAGAATAGCATCTCAAAGCGTTTAACAGTGGCGGAGCCTGATCCCGAGCCGGGTGTGGGGAGGTGGCCGTAAGCACGGTCGAAGAGGAAGGTCTTCGTAGAATCAAACAGCAAAGAGAGAGGCAATTCGGCACATTGTGTCTGTGCTGGCTCTTTGAGAAGAGCTATCCAAATTAATCCCACTCCCCCGCTCTTTGAAAAGAGCTATCCAAATCAATCCCACTCCCCTGCTTTCTCCCCATAACCCTGCAACCTTGTCCTCCCCAAATAATTATCTACTTCTCTCTTAAAAGTTGTTAGCGAATTGGCTTCCACCACACTTTCAGGCAATGCATTCCAGATCCGAACAACTCGCTGTGTGAAAAAAATTCTCCTCACTTCCCCTCTGTTTCTTTTAACAACCATTTTAAATCAGTGTCCTCGGATTACCGACCCACCTGCCAATGGGAATAGTTTCTCCTGGTTCATCCTATCAAATCCACTCATAATTTTGGAAACTTATATTAAGTCTCCTCTTAATCTTCTCTGCTCCAAGGAGAATAATCCTACCTTCTGTAGCCTCTCCTGGTAACTGAAGTCCCTCATTCCTGGTACCATCCTGGTAAATCTCCTTTGCACCCTCTCCAATGCCTTGACATCCGTCCTAAAGCTTGGTACCCAGAACTGAACACAGTACTCCAGCTGAGGCCTAACCAGTGTTTTATAAAGGTTCATCATAAATCCCTGACTTTTGTATTCTATGCCCCTATTTATAAAGCCTAGTATCCTGTATGTTTTTTTTAAAACAGCTTTATTTCCCTGTCCTCCCACTTTCAAAGATTTACTTATATGACCCCCAGGTCTCTCTGTCCCTTCACCCCCTTTAGGATTGTACCATCAGCTTATATTGCCTCTTCTTATTCTTCCTCCTAAAATGCATCACTTCGCATTTCTCCACATTAAACTTCATCTGCCACATGTCGGCCCATTTTACCAGTCTATGTCCATTTGCAGTCTGCTACTATCCTCCTTGTGGTTTACTACCTTTTCTAGCTTAGTATTATCTGCAAACTTAGAAATTGTACTCCCGATACCCAAGTCCAGGTCATTTATATAGATCAAAACAGCAGTGATCCCAATACTGAACCCTGGGGGACACCACTGCACACTGCCTTCCAGTCAAAAAAAACAACCGTTCACCACCACTCTCTGCTTTCTGTCTCCTGCCCAGTTCTGTATCCATGCTACCACTGTCCCATTAATACCGTGGGCTTCTATTTTGCTTACAAGTCTCTTATGTGGCACTTTATCAAACGCCTTTTGAAAATGCATATAAACTATATCAACGGCACTACCTTCATCCACCCTGTCCATTACTTTATCAAAAAACTCTTATCAGGTTTGTTAGACATGATTTGCCTTTAATAAATCCGTGTTGGTTGTCCTTTATTAATCCATATTTTTCTAAGATGGAGCTTGAAAAAGGGGAGAGAGGGGGCAAGGTGGAAGACTTGAGGGAGAGTGCTCCAGAGTTTCGGTGCATAGTGGCTGAAAGCATTAGCTGATGAAACTTTCATGGAAACGAATGATAATTGTATCCAATAATTCTATCTTTATCAAGAAACATTTACAAGGGTGGTTTTAACAGAATGGGCAGCTGTTACATATTCCACAAACAGGTGTCTTCCTTGATTTAGACAGGTGTTTAATACCCATCACCGTCCTTAAGAGGTTCAAAACCAAATCTGTATATTTATGGTTTTCATTTTGTCTGGAACAAAATGCAGGCTCTAATTACCCATTCCCAGAATTTAGGCTCAGGTTTGGCTTGGGGATCTTAGAGTAAGTATTGGGCTACTACTGTAGTTTAACCAGTTAAAATCACACATCTTACCATTGCAAACAGTTGAAAGTTTCCAACTACTTATCCGACTAGGATTATGCTACTTATTAGGGCTTTGTTTACAGGAGCAAATGGCGAAAAAAATCCTAGCCCCAGTGACTGATCTGCTCCTAAAGTCCCTCGAATCAGCCACACTAGCTGGTTAGTTATTAACAGTGCTTTAGACCAGGGGTTCCCAAACAGGGGTCCGCAAACCTCGGGGGCCCAGAAGATCATTTCAAGGAGGCCGGGGAGTATGAGGCACAATGGCGGTCCAAAGGCTAAGGAAGCCTAACTGGACTATAGAATCCTGCTCCGGTAGAGAAGCAGATTTGAAAGTTGCATTCCCACAGTTCAAGTGTAAGGTATTTCAGGACAGCCTTTTGTGGAGGCTGTGAGGGAGATCTTGCTGCAGGAAGCTCATTTAGCCTGAGTGGAGGGGGGGGGGCATCCATATTCAGAATACATAATGTCCTGGGTGTTCCAAGCCAAGCCAGTTCAGAAACCCCTGCCTTGGACTGCTGAGTACTTTCCTAGCTCAAGAACCAAACTTTCATTTGAAGGCATGTCACCTTGTAGCTAACTCAATCCCAGAGTCATGTCTACCCTCCATTTTTGGAAGTGCCGTCCTTCAGATCGACGTTAAACCAAGGTCCCATCTGCCTATTCAGGTGGACCCTAAGGATACCATGGCATTATTCAAAAAGAGAAGGGAGTTTTCCCAGTCTCCTGACCAAAAGTCCCCAGATATTATTGATCATGTACTTCATGGATAGTTGTGAGACATGCCTGTGAAAAAATGGCTGCTTACAATTTTTAAACTACAAAATAGTCACGACACTACAATAAATCCTGTGAAGCACTTAAGAGACATTTAATGACATGATATGGTGGTATATCAAATGCAAGGATTGTTATTATTACTAAGCTTGATTGCAATACCCCCTCTGAGATTTATGTTTTAAACTCAGAACAGATCACATGACATTTGGGACTACATGTATCTGTACGGTTTAGTTTCAAACAGTGTCATTTACCAATTGAGCCACTAGTTTTAGCTGAATTAAAAAAAAGTAGAAATCCATCACTAAAATTTTCTGATGCATCATGTCCTTAAGAATCCCACATTTTTAGGACTCCCTTGTGAATAATGAACATTAAAGTGCCCTTCCCCATTATCATGCTGTTGAATGACTCCCAAATGTAAGGTTATAGAGCGACGACGACTGTGCAGTCATCAAAGTCCAATTACCTTAGCATAAATTGATTCTGTTGAACTGCCTATCGTATAAATCACACTGGATTAAGAGTGCAAAGTCAGCATGTCAAATGTATACAAAATAAAAGTGAAAACAATTACCAAAACACAGCGGAGAGACACAATTGCTAATGAAGCTACTATTTAGCTGCTTACCCACTGTCTGTGAAAAGGAACTCCAAATGCGTCATGTAAAGCTCCCAGAGTGGGATGCTGTAACGCTGAGCCAGAGACAGAGAGATCTTGTACACATTTTCCTCCAGAGTTCTATCAAAAACAATTCAATCCGAAAAGGTTAAAGCATAAAGATATTTACTCAGCAAATTCATACAAGCCATCCTTGGTGGAGAAGAAAAATAACACTACCCATTGATCCATTTCACATTATGTATAATGTGAACCAGTCTCCTTAATTTGGTATAGAGCAAGCGAGAAACCTTGGTTGATTTCCTGGTAGGACAAAATGTTGGGCAAGTTTCCTTACTTCACACGCCTCTGTTTACCTAGCAGTAAGTAGGAACCCGGTTGTTAAGCATCCCATGATCAATTTTCCAGGGGTTATAATTTGTTCAAAAAAAAATTGGTCACTTCAATCCCCGACTGTTTGTGGAACACTGTTGTGTGCAATTGGCTGCCGCATTTCACCCACAAAATATCCAGTCAATTCACTTTACAGTATATTCTGTGAAGTGCTTTGAAAAGATGTGATAAGGCACTATATCAAATGCAAGGATTATTACTGTATAATACAGAAGATAGGAATATGTTGCCTTTTCATGTCTGTGTTTTTCAAGTGCAGATTAGATGAAGGTAAGATCAAAGTTACAAGAGAGATCAGCTCTGTTCTAGTTCACTTAACAGAAAGGAACACTCACGGAAGTCTCTTAAATTGATTTTTCATTTCCCCAGATAACTAATTCAGCAGTCTATGTGATTAAAATTCCAGGAACGTCCTTTCAATTAATCATGTATAGAGCTGAAGACATTTTTTGGTAAAAATATAAAAATAATAAAATGACATGAAGTTTATCATTGGGGTGCAAATGTGGTATCTCAAGAAGGAGCCAGAAATAGCGATAACTGAATGTGCATCACCTATCCTACTTCTAGGGATGTGTCGGAACAGGGTTCCTATGGGTCGGTCTGACACACATCTATTTAATTTACCTGCAGGAGTTACTAACTGAGATAGAAATACCATTTCTCTATTAGGGCGAAACCTTGGGCAAGTTTCCTTACTCCACACAGAGCCTAATAATAATCCCTCCAAAAAAACAAAACAATAATAAATTGGTCATTTTCAATCTACGACTGTTTGTGGGACATTGCTGTGCGCAATTGGCTGCCGCGTTCGCTCACAAATATACAGTCAATTCACTTTACAGTGTGTTCTGTGAAGCGCTTTGGGACGTCCTCCCGACGTGAAACGCGCTATATCAAATGCAAGGATTAGGTCATGCAGGAGTTTCCTGGGTTGACTTCACCTTGGATTCTCATTCCCAATGGAGAAACACCACTCTGCTACCACTGTACTATGCTACTATACTTACAGCAATTAGGATCTGACATTTGAGGAATTGTGCCAGAAATTTGTACCTTAACACTTTGCAGCTATTCCAGCTAGTATTTCTTTATTGAAGAGCCAAATATCAGGATCATATTTAAAGAAGAAAAACAGACTGATATTTTTTGTGCTGAAATTACAGTAAAATGCTTCTGAATCATTTAGCACAACTAATTTTATACTTACTCTGCTAAGCCTAGAATGGTTTCCCTTTTATATTGGCCATCTGCTGAAAATCGTTGTACATCCACTCCTTTCCCAAGACCTTGAAGTGTCTGAGCTTGTGTGAAGTCTGTCAGTCGCTCATTATAGCAGTTAAGGTGATAAATCAGTACCTGAAGTTCTTCTGACCAATTTGTATCTGCATTTTCAGTCACATATTTTGTGACCATTTTAATTACCTCTTTTGGATCAGCCTGGAAAATGTCAGAAACACTGATGAGAGTTTAACACAGTTTTGTAGAGATAAAATAATTTGTTCAAACTCGAACTCACCAGATATCTGCTGAGATACTTGAAAATATAGTCATGTGAGTTATTTCTCTTGGAGGTGAATGAGTTATCAGAGTTTCACTATAATTACCTGTTAATTACACTCACAGTGATTAATTCCATTTAGTGATTAAAAAGGCAGTGGACCGAAAGATACTACAACACTTCATGTAAGCCCAGCTCTTGGACACGATAAATAAATTACCAAATTCAGTCCAAAGAATGGCATGCCTTTTTGTCCAACCTATAAAACTAGATGAAGATGTTGATATTGGACTGAAAACTGAGTGTTTTAAAGTCCTAATCCAATTTCTTTGTACAATCTCCAACACATTCAAGAACCCTGCAGCATGTATTCTCTCCTGCACCAGGATCCACATATCCATCACACTCACCCTCACCAGGCACAAGTAGAATACTGAGCGAGTTTACGGTTTAGAGCACAGCTTGGTAAGGAGCGGATTTGGGTGAGGTTCTGAAATCTGAATGGGATTGAGGTGGGAGTGTTGCTTGGTGTAATATTGAATGTGGAGCAGGATACGGCTGGGATCAGAGCTTGAATCCAGTGTTCAGGACTCAGTTAAGGTTAGATTAAATAAAATCCATCTGAAAGCATTACTGAAATGGGATAAATGAACCAAATCTATTCTAAAATGTAAGTAGTGGCAACATCGGGATATGTAAAATATTCTTTGTACAGTATTTTCGTGATTTATTGTACTGTCAAGGTTTACATAAGCAGACTTTGGATTTGCTTAAAAAGGTTTCATTAGTCAACTCAGTTTACAAGTCATTAATTAGCAAAGGTAGTTATTGATTTGTTAAAATGCTGAAGTAGTAAGTCAATCTGACATATATCATTCAAGATAATTTTATTTTAGCATCAACTATCACCCTGTCGATATTTAAAACAGATAAGATTGGAGTATTTTAGTGCAAAGCAATAAACATAGAATTGAATAAATTCTAGGCATAAATATGTGTTTCTGATGTGGTTATATATTCCTTTCTTTCTCTCTTATTGATTTACAGGTAATTACTTGAGGGAGAGAAACACAGCCCTCAGCGATAAGATGCAATGCAATCTCAGCACTACCTGCGACAAACGATATTTCAATTAGAAAGCAATACTTCTACTACAGCTGCTTTAATTTCTGAGAGAGGGGCAAGAACACTAACCCTGTAGAGTGGATGACATTTGTCCTTGAAACATGGACTTAAATGGACATAGATCTGCAGAGCATAGTAGTATCCAGCCAACTGGAGAGACAAAGCTGAATGAGGTTGCTTCTCAAAACACTTATTGGCATCTGCAACCTGTTGGAAAAATTAAAGAGAAAACAGAATGTCATTAAGAGTTTGTGTAATATCGCACAAATATTAACAGTACAATAATGTACAACTTCAATATTGAGTGAATAACAGAAAACTGACATTCTCATTACAAATATTTTCGTTGAAGTCTGTTTTAAACCATATCTTATATAAGTGATATTATAATCCATTTATGAGGCAGGCAAACAAAGTTAAGCGGTGAATTACAATTCAAAAATACAATACAAATTTACATTTATATAACACCATTCACATGGGGAGGGCTTCCCAAGGCTCTTGACACTTCTGGCTTGGTACCCATGGGAATAGAAGACTGAAGAAGTGGTCAAACATCTTTAGTTATTGTCATTTGAGAAATGCAAGGCACTGCATAAAAGACGCAAACAAAAGAGGTGCAGGAGGGACAGAACTTGCCAAGAGAAAAGCTGAAAGTGACTCATAACTCACCATATCTAAACAGTGTGAGGAACAATAACTATGGCAACCAGGATACTGGGCTATATTGCCAAATCAGTTAAGTTCAGATCCCACTCATCAATCTCAATCTGCACAGTGCTTCGATTATGTCACATGTGGCGAATTAAGTGTAGTTCTGGTCACTGTGACATAAGGGGCTGCTGAAAATAATAATAATCCTTGAATTTGATACAACGCCTTATCACTTTGTTGAGACATCTCAAAGGGCTTCACAGAATATATATTTATAAAGAGAATTCACTATATACTTTGTGGGCAAAACACGGCAGCCAATTGCACACAGTGGTGTCCCACAAACAGTCATGGATTGAGTGACCAAATTTTTTTTTATATAAAACGGATTATTGCCACAGAAAAGCGATTCAACAATCGAGTTCCTACTTACTACTAGCTAAACAGAAGCACGTGAAGTAAGGAAACAATCTCCCAAATAAAATTGGTCATTCACTTCATGGTTATTTGTGGAACAATGATGTGCACTGCTGCTGCATGTATGTACAAATACAGTCACTCCACTTTACAATATACACTGTGAAGCACTTTTTAAGACTTCCCTCATGATGTGAAAGGCACAATGTCAAATGCAAAGTTATTATTAGTGTACCCATACCATACTGCCCCAATATTGATTTACACGGTATTCTCAAAGCAGTCTTTTGATGTTGTCTTTGAAAAACGTGAAGCCTGCTCTAGATCAATACAGAATCTTGGGTTTGGTGCAACCATCTCACCATCAGGTGACTCTCCCTATAAATAATGTCCAATTCAACTTGGAAAGTGTTTCTGTTCTTCCAAGTTGCTTGGTTCAAATTCTAGGGCCCAGAAATTCCACGTGAAGCCTATTAGAACTTTAGGATCATGCAGAATTCAGGAAAATTCTAAATATCTTCAGAATTTGAATTTGGTTTATTTTAAGAACTATGGAAAACATTCACAAGATCTGCATGGAGAAAACAACATTCATTTTGTTGGCAGTAAGTATTTGTTCTCAGACTTCCTATTTATTTATCAGCATTGATTTACCTTCAGGATCCAAATTTATAGATTCAAAATGCACTGATGGCAGTGACCACAGTTGATGATACATATCTTGACAGAACAACACTAGTTAAGCAGTACTTCCAGCAAACTATAGTGAAAATGTTCCTTGCATCCAAGAAAGCTTCAGCTCTGAAAGCTCATAATGAATCTATCCATATTTACAACTGATTGGCCCCCACTATCTGAACAATTTGGTCTGATTTACATTTGCTGTCAGACAAGGTCTTCTCTTACAACTCATTGATATTCATATTGTTGATATTCCTCATCATTTGGCGTGGAGAGGAATGGCAGCTAGGGTGTACATAGTTTATGAAAGACCCCTGGAAATTTATCACTTTCATTAAAGAGGTAATCATTTTTTGGTCAGCCAAGCATCTGACACAAGTGCAAACCAATCACCATGCTTAAAAGTATCCAAACCAAACCGAGAATTCCATGTATTCCACCTACAAATGGAAATCGCAGAGATAGATTGTTGGAATGGGATTTACACTCTCTCCCTGGAGGGACGCATCTGCTTACCTAATTCCGGAAAGTATTAGGCGCAGGCTGGCAAGAGCCAAGGCTTGGAGACCCCAGAGTATGCATTGGGGTACTGCTGTAGTCTAAAAAGCTAATACTGCATAGCTTGATCGCATCATTGATCGCCCAAGATTTCCCACTGCTTATCCAGCTGGGCTTTGGCTTGCGGGGCTGGCAAGAGTTGAGTGAGAGGATTCTCTGCCCCAGTCACTGGTCGGCCTTTCCAAGTGCTACCAATGAGCCAGGCTGGCTGTACTGTCATTAGCAGTGCCCTGGAGTACTGCGGACCCGGCTGGCTCAGGAACCACCACCTGGGATTCAGATCTTGTTCTGAGGAGGCCTTTGTCACAGCTTTTGAACTGCTGCTTGTTTCATTTTATACTTAAAATGATTAATTTGCTACTTTTTTAAATATATTGTGCCATAAGGGATTAAGTGAGATGCAACCTTTGAGAGGGTCAGTCTTCGACCTCACTTTGTTAGTTTTGCTGAGAACTGCATTTGAATCTCAATTGTCCAGAGATATAGTGCTGACTTGTTAAGTGACATCTCATCCGTTTCATTACTCAAAGTAGCACAATATTGATAACGCACAGACCTTTAGAATTCACTATAGCTAGAATTAAGGTTTGCCCAAACTTTGTTTTTACTTACTTTTGGAAACAAAATTGGCTTTAAAACAGCTTAAGAAGACCTTATCTATATTATAATAACTCCCTTGACATGGTGATGGGGAAATGTAGAGGCTGCGTACTATATGCAGTGCAAGTATTGTGGCAACATGCAAGTTCCTTTTGAAGTTTCTGCAAGAATCCTTCCATAAACTAGGCAGCTAAAGCAGTTTCCCAAGCTTTTACCATGTTGGCTGTTCTTAACAGTGAGATCAGTCAAATAAGCCCTTGGGTGCTGTAAATTACAAAAGTCTTCAGAGTGTATCTGTCATTGAGAACCCCAAGATCCTCTTTTCCACCACAAATTATCTTTCCACTTCTGTTTGCAATCCCAGGTCCCAATCGTCTGCAGCTTAACATGAACTAGACAGAAGCTATTTTCCTCAGTTCCTGCCAATATCACCTCACCTCTGACTCCAACCTCCTCAACCTCTTGGGCGTAATTCTCAAACTCACCAAACATGTGTGCAACTACGATATGCCCACTTCATTCAGCTAACAAGCGCATTCTACATCTCTCCTGGCCTCGGTAATACCAAGATGAAGTAGGATCAGGATGTGTATCATTGTACAGAATTTGTGTTCAAAATACAACTCTTTAACTTGTATTTTTTCAAATAAATAGCAGAAGGAATTTACAAAATACACAAGAAAAGGTTTTATAACATTTCTTCCTGGTTAGATCTTCGTAATATGACCTAGAGTATCATACCTGTGGTAAGGCCAGAAGATAGCCGAGAGCCAGAGTCATATCCTTTGGTAAAGCATCACTGGCTAGTTGTAAAAGAACTGCCAAAACAAAAGTAAACAAAAGAAAAAAATACAAGATCAGAAATTCTCAAATAGGCTACAGTACAATAACAATCCAGTAAAAGCTTATTGTAAATCCGTTACAAATATCATGTCACAGATGCTGACTATCATTGTAACTGAACACAACAAGAATTCTATTAAAATTATTAGCCTCTTACTGTGGAACTCAGTATTAATCTTATATTTTGAATTAAAAGTACTTAATCTAGTAGTACAAAATTAATTTTACTTCAACAATAGAAAATATCCAATTTGATGACTGCATTCTTTTGACTTTTTGAGGGACACTGCTGTGCGCAATTGGCTGCTGCGTTTCACCCACAAAATATACAGTCTCTACAGTATATTCTGTGAAGCGCTTTGAAACACCTTAGCAACATAAGGTGCTGTATCAAATGCAAGAATTATTAGTATTATTATTTACGGTTGTTGGTTGTTAGGTTGTTAGTCTGTTAAAGTTGCTTCCGATACCCTTTAAAGGAAGATTATGATATTGTAAGAAATCAGTAAAGTTATTTAAAACTTCGATAATTCCAGCAAGTCTGAATTTGCAGTGAATGCAGTTAGTGGGAGATTGGAACTGGAGGAGATTGTATAGCTAGGGTGGAGGGACAGCGTGAGGGGATTTAATGGCCAGTATAAGAATCTTGATGTCAATCTGCTGTGACAGGGAGTCTGGTGAGGATTAAGTGATAGACGAGGATGAGGAATGCAAGAGATGACATGGACTATGAAGTTCTATATTAGATGAAGCTTCAGAAGAGTAGAAATAGCATGGAAAGCATTAGGGAAATTAAGTCTAGAGGAGATGAAGGTGTAAATAAGAGTATTATCTGGGAATGTGAGGAAAAGGGGGAGTAGGCAATGTAGATGAAAGTAGAGATAGGCTGTTCTAGTCAGATTTTAAAAAGAATCATGGAATTATACAGCACAGAAAGAATGCCCATCGTGTCTTTGTCAGGTCTTTGAAAAGAACTATCCAAATCAATCCCGCTCCCCTGCTCTCTGCCCATAGCCCTGCAAACTTGTCCTCCCCAAATAATTATCTACTTCTCTCTTAAAAGTCGTTATTGAATCGGCTTCTACCACACATTCAGGCAATGCATTCCTGATCCGAACAACTCGGATAAACATAATTGTGTAATTATTGTGTAATTTACACATAATTGTGTAATTTCACACATGCTATGTGAAAAAAATTCTCCTCACCTCCCCTCTGTTTCTTTTAACAACTATTTTAAATCGATGTCCTCGGGTTACCGACCCACCCGCCAGTGGAAATAGTTTCTCCTTTTCCACCCTATCGAAACCCCTCATAGTTTTGAAAACATCTATTAAGCCTCCTCTTAAACCTTCTCTGCTCCAAGGAAAATAATCCTAACTTCTCTAGGCTCTCCTGATAACTGAAGAACCTCATTTTTGGTACCATCCTGGTAAATCTCCTTTCCACCCTCTCCAATGCCTTGACATATTTCCTAAAATGTGGTGCCCAGAGCTGAACACAATAGTCCTGTAGCTCAGTGGTTAGAGCACTCACTTTGCAAGTGAGAGAAACTGAGTTCAATTCCAGGCAGGGCGAAACCTTGGGCAAGTTTCCTTACTCCACACGCCTAATAATAATCCCTCCAAAAAAACAAAACAATAATAAATTGGTCATTTTCAATCCATGACTGTTTGTGGGACATTGCTGTGTGCAATTGGCTGCCGTGTTCGCCCACAAATATACAGTCAATTCACTTTACAGTATATTCTGTGAAGCGCTTTGGGACATCTAGAAGACGTGAAAAACGCTATATCAAATGCAAGGATTATTATTATTATTACTCTAGCTGAGGCCTAAACAGTGTTTTATAAAGGTTCATCATAACTTCCTGACTTTTGTATTCTATGTCCCTATTTATAAAGCCTAGTATCTTATATACTTTTTTTAAACAGTTTTATCTACTTGTCCTGCCACCTTCAAAGATTTACTTATATGAACCCCAGGTCTCTCTGTCCCTTCACCCTTTTAAGATTGTACCATCAGCTTATATTGTCTCTCCTCATTCTTCCTCCCAAAATGCATCACTTTGCATTTCTCCACATTAAACTTCATCTGCCACGTGTCGGCCCATTTTAACAGTCTTTCTATGTCCTCTTGCAGTGCTACTATCCTCCTCACTGTTTGCTACTTTTCCTCGCTTAGTATAATCTGCAAACTTGGAAATTGTACTCCCTATACCCAAGTCCAGGTCATTTATATAGATCAAAAACAGCAGTAGTCCCAATAAGGACCCCTGTGGGACACCAGTGCACACTTCCCTCTTGTCAGAAGAGCTGAAGGTCAATAGCAGCTGGGGGGGGGGGGGGGGTATGTTGATGAGTTTAGAGCCGAAGGCAAGAAAGCTCTGAGTGAAGCCAAGCAAGCTGCCTTTGCTTTGTTTGTGTTCACATTCAGCTGAAGGGAGTCGAGGCTCATAAAGGACTTGATGTCTGATAAGCTTCATCAGAAACCTAGAGCAACAGAAAGCTTTGCAGAAGGAATGAATTAGTACTAGTGTCATAAACAATTAATGTTCTTAGGAAGTGACCTTATTAGTGAATGCACTTAGGAGTTCAACTCCCAAATGTAAGTAGGTCTCCATCGATGCATGATTGACTGAACACGACAGCAGTGCCACTTTATTTCCAGGCACTCCATTGTCATCTTAACGGCTGCCAATTAAAGAATAATTAAATGTTTGGAGTGCAGTGATTATATATTCCAGGAAAAGAATGCACCATCCTTATAAGCAGAATAAAATATGCCTTCTAGATTTTATTAACAACATTAGGAATGGATAATATGTTTTTCAGCATTTTGTTTGTAATCAAAACATAAATATATGCTTTAATGAGCTGAATAATTTAAAATAAATAGTTCTGAGTAATGAAGTTTCTCTTCTAATAGCGTCTCAGTACAATAGTTGCTTTTGCAGTGTTGCATTTAGAAACAAAAATATTCTTCAATTAAACCAATTGAATAAGCAACAGAATCAGGATAAATACATGGAATAAACAATGCCTAGACGCGGCATCAAATTCTGCTGTTGTCAAAATTATTTTGAATTGTCATACCGAATAGCTCTAATTTTAAGAAAATCCTATAATGCCAAGGGATCAAGAGTTTAAATTAACGTATCTAATCAGCTCTATTCAAACAAAAAGCAAATAGCAAGAATTAAACATTTTCCAAACAATTTCTAACATACAAATCCCACAAGTCCTTTTCTTTTTATTTCCCCCTCCCTCGCTGAAGGTTCCACAAGCATTGGTTTTCCTCTGGCATCTTGCTCTTGTGGTCTCTCTGCTTATCTCAACTGGGGCAGCCAAAGTCCGCACGCTCATTTGACTACTGCATCTCACCCAAGCCCAATTCTACTCTTTCCCGATTATCACATATACGCACATTCCAGGCACCCTTACTGGATAGCAATGAAAGAAGGAAGCTCAACTATTACCTTCTCCTTCCTAGCTAAGGAGGTGCTAATGCCAAGTGCTTTCTCAACAGAGCAGGAAGCCCCAGAAAGCTGCATTCAAATTTATAATAATAATAATCCTTGCATTTGATATAGCGCTTTTCACGTCTTCTAGATGTCCCAAAGCGCTTCACAGAATATACTGTAATGTGAATTGACTGTATATTTGTGGGCGAACGCAGCAGCCAATTGCACACAGCAATGTCCCACAAACAGTCGTAGATTGAAAATGACCAATTTATTATTGTTTTTTTTTTGGAGGGATTATTATTAAGGAAACTTCCCCAAGGTTTCGCCCTGCCTGGAATTGAACTCAGGTCTGTCGCTTGCAAGGCGAGTGCTCTAACCACTGAACTACAGGACTCCACAATTTGGATAATAAGACCAAGCCACTGTATGTCTCAGTGCTGCAACCTTATCCACTAAGTCTTTTGAGTAGTTAGATGAGCCCTTTCTCAGCACAAAGTGGACATAGGGACAAATCCTAATTTGGAATTAACCAATTGTCTAGCTCCACCTGCACATCAGAGCTAGACAGTTGGTTACTTTCAAATTAGAGTTGTCTCATACCCACATCTGATCTTCCTACAGTTGGTTTTGGTGATAGTGTTGCAAACAATAGATTATTTGTTAGAAATAAGCCTAATTGTGTCATACAAACAGAGAAGTGTGTTTTGACTTAATTTTGTCCTCATAGCAAGAACAAGGCCCTTTGCAACCAAAATTAGTGTTTTGTGATTCACGTTTTCATTAATATGAACAACTAATCGACAAATAATAATGTGCAAGTTTTGTCATTCTAACCCAAGTAAGCTAGGAGATAGAATGGCAACTATTGGGAAAAAATGAATTTATCACAATTTTCAGTAGAAATTCTTAACGACTCTGTCCTTAAACTTGATGAGCCAATACAGGTAAATCTGTAGAATTTACAACACACAGGTAATTTTTTTAAGCTAATGCTGTCAAAGCGGAAATCTCCAAGGTGAGTAATTATGCAGATGGGGAAGGCGGGTAGAGATTCTAATGGACAACCCTAAATTTATGAAATACTAAATTAATAAAGTACAACATCATTATAAACCAGCTTTTTGTGGTTAGTATGTGTTCTGCCACTAAGCTCTTAATGGTACAATGTTTGATTTATTCCACAGGAGAAATCAGCTTTTTCTACTACCAGTATAACAAATCAAGAAAGTGATGAAGTTAGACTATCACCTTCTCCCAGGAATTCAGGGAGGAGGATTATTTGCACATAAGATTGTCCATTGCTGGAGGCATCGCTGGTTGTATGTTCCCTTTCAGAACAGATGCCTAGATTGCTCATTGATGGGGGCATAGCAGGTTATGTTTCCCAAGGGAACAGAACTCATCTTTTTCATTGCATCAGAAATAGTATCTAAAGCGCCTGTGGAAAACATGTTTGTCAAGATAGACAGCTCTAGACAATACAGATTAAAGATTCAACTATATGGAGTTCTGGTATATACCCTATTTCCCCTTTTAAACTTGCTGGATTAAGATATAATGTTCTGTTAGCTGAATTAAACTAGAGTGAAACATCTAGCGCTTGCTAGAAAACCTTCATATTTGTTTCACTTTAATTCTGGCAAAAATCCATTACGATTATCAACCCTTTTTATTGCCTGAATAATTCTCTACTAATTTTCTTTAATCATGACAGCACCCCTCAGTTTTGATTTTCAGTAACTATATTCAGTTCTGGTACATACTGCTTAGGTCTCATAGTAATACTCATGCATCATCACTCCTGGAATCGTACCATCAGGACAAATAAAAGTCAACATGCACCACAGTGGCATTTCATCATATGATGTATCTGCTTAATTATATTGAAATATGCAACATACTTTTTATTATTTTTCCAATATTTTAGTGAATAGACTTTTATTGATGATATCCCACATACAAGCTTAAAAAAAGGTTGAAAGCTGAATGTGTTGTAAAAGCTGGTGATATGCTTTCTGAGCATTTGATAATAACATAAATATTTACCTTCTGTGGCAGGAAAAAGGCTTTCTCCTTCACTTTTGGTTTCAGCCAATTTACCCGCTTTTAGTAAGACTTCTGCAAAGTTCTCCAAAGCACTGTGTTGGTAATCAGTGTAACTAACTTCATTCTGTTGGACACAGAGAAAGAAAAAAAATTAATAATGTACATATTTGATCTAAATGTCCACATCTTTACAACTAAGCTTCCTTACCTAACTGCAAGACCAGGCTATTGTGGGTCACAACCCAATGACTACCTTGCAAAAAATATCATCTGCAGGAACAGCAGATTACATTTTGTATAGCACTTTTCACATAGGGAAAACGTCCCAAAGCGCTGGACAGCCAATGATGTGCACCTGAGCTGGGGGTTGAGATCAGGAGAGGTGGAGGGCAGGGATAGGAAGGTGCACTATTACTGCACTATTATGACCACCTCCATCTCTTTTTAAAAAAAATCAACCTGTAGATTTATGGTCACAAATCATAGGAATTAGGAGCAGGTGTAGGCCATTCAGCCTCTTGAGCCTGCCCTGCCATTCAATAAGATCATGGTTGATCTTTCTAACCTAACTCCATCTGCCCACCTTATCCCCAATATCCCTTAATCCCTCTATCCTTTAGAAATCTATTAATCTCAGTCTTGAATATGTTCAAGGACTGAGCATCTACAGTTTTCTGGGATAGAGAATTCCATAAATTCATTAACTTCTGAGTGAAGAAGTATTTCCTCAACTCTGTTCAAAAAGGCTGACCCTTAATCTTAAAACTGTGACCCCTAGTTATAGATTCTCCTACCAGGGGAAACAGTTTCACACTGTCTACTCTGTCAAGCCCCATAAGACTTTTATATGTTTCTATAAGAACACCTCTAATTCTTCTATATTCTGGCGAATATAGGCCTAGTTTACTCAACCTATCCTCATAGGTCAACCCCCTCATCCCAGGAATAAACCTAGTGAGTCTACGCTGCAGCCCTCTAAGGCGAGTATGTCCTTTCTTAAATAAGAAGACCAAAACTGCATACAATATTCTAGGTGCGGTCTCACCAAGGCCCTATACAGTTGCAACAAGACTTCCCTACTCTTGTACTCTAACCCTTTTGCGATAAACGCCAACATGCTATTAGCCTTCCTAGTTACTTGCTGTACCTGCATACTAACTTTTTGTGACTGGTGTACAAGGACACCCAAATCCCTTTGAACACTAACACTATCTAGTCTCTCCCCCTCCAGTAAATAATCTGCTTTTCTGTTTTTACTACCTAGGTGAATAACTTCACACTTCCCCACATTATATTCCATCTGCCAAATTTGAAATTAAGAGCCTGAACACTAAAATGGAAAGGAGCAAATGCCTGTTTCGTGCCAAAATGCATATATGTTCACTTGCCAAAAAAAATCAACCTGCTCTTTATATATTTTTATATAAATACACCAAAACCTGGCAAAGATGGGATGACCTGGTATTTCTACATTGGCAAAAATTCAACCGCCAGAAGTTTCTGGAGCAGCTTTAAAAATGAAATACATTTAGCTAAACAAACAACTTATTAAAATGACATACTTGTGTACAATTGCAATTCCAACAGTGTATCAGAAGTGGTGCCAAGTGCCTGCAGGAACGGAATGAGCTTCTTATTAGTTTAGATTACTGACTAGGTATTTGGGTAAACCTGCCAACCATTTGCTGTGGTATTCAATTATTTCCCAAGTATCCGCCACTCTTTTAAACATCCCTATTGATTCCACCTCTATAGCTTTCTGGGCAGGGCAGACCACATCTTCACAACCCGCTGTGTGACAAAATGCTTTCTGACCACAGTTCTAACTGTCTTGCTTAAGATTTTAACACTTGTACCCACTCGTAATGGATCCCTCCACCAAGGGAAGAGTCACCCACAAACAAATCTGTCATTTACTTTTATTATTTTAAATGCCTCAATCAAATCACTCCTTGACCTCCTTTGTTAACCTCCGTAACATCGCCCGACTCCACCACTACCTCACCCCTCAGGCCGCTGAAACTCTTGTTCGTGCCTTCATCATATCCAGGCTCGACTATGTAAATGCCCTGCTGGTCGACCTTCCCAACTCCTCCCTCCACAGGCTGTAGATAATCCAGAACTCTGCAGCCCATGTCCTCTCCCGCACCAAACTCCGTGACCCCATCGCCCCCACTCTCGCCCGACTCCACTGGTTCCCTATCCTTCAGAGGATCCAGTTCAAGATCCTGGTCCTCACATACAAAGCCTTCCATGGCTTCGCCCCACCCTATCTCTGTGACCTCCTAATCCCCTACCAACCCTCCCGCGAAAAAACACGTTTCTCCAAAACTGACAACTTTGTATAAGTTCAAAGTCAACTTTGACTCTTCAAATCAATAAAAAGATTTTGCTTCAAAATTTGTTTTAAAAAAGCTATGCTTTAAAGATTTTTAAAAGATGTCTTCAGGGTGCTAAGGAATTAAATCATTTTGTAATTTTACCAAATAAAAATGTATTAAACATAAATAGGAGCTGGGTAATGCATTGCACTTTTGAAGTTAAATATTTGTGGATTTCATACATTTTTATCAACAAACCCTTGAGGCTTTAAGGGGACTTATGAATTCTGTTCAGTACTTGTAACCTGGATGTCACACAGCATGGCAAACCAAATGAATACAGGAGAGTGAAACTGTGCAGTAGCAGAAGAAAGTTGCATCTGTGTTGTACATTGACATTCCATAAAGTTATTTGGTTTAAATTTAACTTATTGTTGACACAACCATATAGCCAGTAATCTGCTGGATATTTTGTGCTGAAAGTTCTGTGCCAGAAGATGCAGGCTAGTTTGAGGTCGCCTGTAAGTATAACTGCTTTCCAGTTGTGTGTAGAGAACCCTCAGGTTATCAGATTCCGAGTATCCGGACTTCGGATGCAGCTGAACCAGGCCGGAAATGGAAAAATAAAAACAATTTCCGCTAGCCCGGGCACATTAGACTCCAGCTGGCCCACTCTGCTGGCGCATGCTCCTGTCTCACTGTCCTAACTGCCCTTCAGCAGCCAGGGATACTTTGACAGAAACAGGGGAGATAAGGAAAAAAAAATTCACCCAGCAAGTTGTTTGGATCTGGAATGCATTACCGAAAGGGAAGTGGAAGCCAATTCAATAGCAACTTTTAAGAGAAAAGTAGATGGGCATTTGGGGAGGACAGGATTGCAGGGCTATGGAGAGAAAGCGGGCCAGTGGGATTGAGTTGGATAGCTCTTTTAGGAGCTGGCGCAGACGTGATGGGCCAAATGGCCTCTTTCTGTGCTGTATGATTCTATAATTCTATGACTCAGTTTGAATCTCGTGAGCAGAAGTAACTTATTCACTTCTGCTTGAAGGATTCAAACAATTACAATGCCAGAACCAGCATTTACCGGCATTTTGCGCCACTCAAAAAAAGCAGGCAACGAAAAAGTCTGTAATTGCCAGCATTAAGAGATTCTGGCTTGCCAGACCAGATGCCCCTCCACCCCACCACCTCGTTGATCCAGCTAGCCAAGGTTTTAGCACATTCCTCAGAACAACAACAACAAGATCACATTTGTATAGCGCCTTTCACGTCGGGAAGACGTTCCAAGGCACTGGACAGTGTACAGCATTTCAGACCCGAGCTGGGGTCCGGGGGAGAAGAGAGGGGAGTGGAAGGGGGGTGGCCGATGGCATGGTCAAAGAGGGGGGGTCTTGAGGTGGGAATTGAAGGAGGCTAAGGAGGGGGCGAGGCGGAGTGACTTGGGGATGCAATTCCAGATGTTGGGGCCAGAGTGGCTGAAGGCTCTCCCACCAATGGTGGGGCGGGTTAGTCGGGGGACATGGAGAATGCCAGAGCCGGCTTGGCCCTCCTGTTTTATCTATAACTGAAAATCCTAATTTGGAAAGCATGTTTGTTTTATAACCTATTTCCGACAAATACCCATGAAGTGAACAATATTATCTGGGCAATTGCTGGCCAGGCCAACGGGAGAAACTCACCTTTTTGAATAGTGCCACAGGAATCTTCACCCACAGGCAACAGTTCCCCAGCAGCATAGATAGTATCATTGTTCATCTCAGTCTTTACTTATGATTATGTTCTCTATTAATATTCTCAGGCAGAGATACACAGCTCAGAAAGTACAAAGCTCAAAAATTCTAAAACTCAGAAAGATCCAAATGAGACTAGATATGAAGGTTATAAAATAGATTTAAACACACAAAATATTCCACAGATACATTGGTCATTAACCTCAAGACTGTTGTGGGATACTGCTGTGCGCAAAAAGGCTACATTTGCCTTCAAAAAATCACTATACAGGAAAGCAATTACTGTGAGATATTTCGACCATATAGGCACTATAAAAACACAATTTTGTCTTTCATCTAACTGCTGATTTAATTCCAAACTGCCCACTCATGCAATCTTGTAAGTTATCATTTCATGCGTCCCATTGGAATTTGCTCTATTGCACCTTTTACAATGGCATGTGATGCCACAGCTGGTGTGATTTGAGGTTCTCTCATCTCTTCAATAAACCAGCAAAATGTAGGAGGCAAAAGTGCTTATCGCATTATATAATTACATCTCTCTCCTGCCAAGCTGCCAGATTCTCTATTTCCATCCTTTTCGCAAAGTACTTCCAGCTTGTCCAATAATTTCTTTTTCCTTCTGTTTCACCTTAGCCTCTAACCTACAGTATGAATCGACTTGTATCAGTTTCTAACCAATTTGCTTCGCAGACTGATCAATTTCCCTTTCTACTTTGTTGGCTCAAACACTAGTTTCAATTAATAACTACTGCTCCTATTTTAAGCACATGATACTGAGTACGTTTGTGCAACATTTGTTAACGCTAAATTTCCTCAACTCCCAAATGCATTTTGAAAATGTAGCATTCATGCTCTCCAGGATGTTCACTAGAATTAAAAAATAAATAAATCTGGAAATAGATTTAAAATACTAAAGGCAGTATAAATTGTGCAGTCACCTGAGAAGGGAGTTTCCCCGGTGCCCTGGCCAACAATTCGTCACATGGCTATTTGTGGGACAATGATGCTGGGTTTGCCTAAAAAATACATACAGTCACTACACTTTATAGTAAATCCTGCGAATTGCTTTG